GAGTTGTGGGATGACATCAAGAACGTCATACAAAAGCAAAAAGTCATTGAGAAAACAAGAAAGAAAGAAAAGGTCAAATGGATGTCAGAAGAGACACTGAACCTTCTCTCCAGCGTAGAGATGCTAAAGCAAATGGAAGCAATGAGTAGGTCCAAGAGCTGAACAAAAAATTTCAAGGATCAGCTCGAGAAGACAAAGCCAAACATTATAATAAAATGTGCAAAGAACTGGAATCAGAAAACCAAGAAGGAAGAACACGCTCAGCATTTCTCAAGCTGGGGAACTGAAGAAAAAAGTCAACCCTTGACTTTCGTTATTGAAAGATTCTCTGGGCAAATTATTGAATGATGCAGAAAGCATCAAGAGAAGATGGAAGGAATACACAGAGTTACTGTACTAAAAGGAAATGGTTACTCAGGTATTACAAGAGGTGGCATAAGATCAAGAGCCAATGATACTGAAGGAGGAAGTACATTGAAGGAATTTGCAAAGAACAAGGCACCACGAACTGATGGAATAAAAATTGGAATCTTTTGAGAAAGTGATGTGGCACAGAAGGTACTCACTCATCTCTGCCAAGAAATTTGGAAGACAACTGTCTGGCCTACTGATTGGAAGAGATCTGTATTGGTGCCCATTCCAAAGAGAGGTGACGGAATGCGGAAGTCATCGGACAATCTCTTTGATATCCGATGTGAGTAAAGTTTTACTAAAGGTAATACAGAAAAGGTTGCAAGCATACATTGATAGAGAACTTCTAGAGGTTCAAGCCGTATTCAAAAGAGGCCGTGGAACGAGGGTATTATTGCTGATGTCCGATGGATTCTGGCTGAAAGTAGAGACTATCAGAAAGATGTTTACCTGTGCTTTATTGACTCTGCAAAGGCTTTCGATTGTGTGGATAATGACAAGCTATGGACAACATTGTGAAGTATGAACACTTACTTGTGTTCATGAGGAATCTGTACCTGGACCAAGAGGCAGTTGTTTGAACAGAACATGGGAACAGTGAATGTTTTAAAATTAAGAAAGTTGTGCGACAAGGTTGTATTCTTTCACCATACTTATTCAACCTGTATGCTGAGCAAATAATCTGAGAAGCTGGGTTATATGAAGAAAACCATGGCATCAGGATTGGGGAAGACTCATTAACAACCTGCGATATACAGATGATACAACCTTGCTTGCTGAAAGTGAAGATGACTTAAAATATTTACTGGTGAAGATCAAAGAGCACAGCCTTTGGTATGGATTACATTTCAATGTCAAGAAACAAAAATCCTCCCCACTGGACCAATAAACAACATTTTTATCATTGGAGAAAAGATTGAAGTTGTCAAGGACTTCCTTCTTCTTCGATCAGCTATTAACACTTAAAGAAGCAACAGTCAAGAAATCAGAGGGCTCATTAGGCATTTGCATTAGGCAAATCTGCTGCACAAGACCTTTTTCAAGTGTTGAAGAGCAAAGATGTCAGCTTGAGGACTAAGATGCCTGACCGGAGCATGGTATTTTCAATAACCTCATATGCATGTGAAAGTTATAAAATGAATAAGGAAGACCGTAGAAGAATTGATGCATTTGTGTTATGGTTATGAAGGAGAATATTGAAAGTTCCATGGCCTGCCAAAAGAACCAACAGGTCTGTGTTGGAAGACGTGCAGCCAGAATGTTCCTTAGAGGCCAAGATGGCCAAACTTCGTCTCTCATACTTTGGACGTATTGTCAGGATGGGCCACTCACTAGAGAAGGATATCATGTTTGGTAAGATGGAGGGTCAGAGAAAAAGAGGAAGACCCCAACGAGATGGGTTGGCAGCAAGCGTTGGGAAAGCAGGCGGACTGGAGACAAGAAACAAAAGTGGGACAATTGATGTTACATATATATTCTTGTCAGTACCTGAGCATTACTTAAAATCACCCCTTTTGATGTTCCTTTTGAGTTCCATCTTTGTGTCAATAACACTAAGACCTATACTAGTTAGCATTCATAGACGTTAAAAAACATTATTCTCTCACTTGTTAAAAATAAAGGCAAAATTCAGAAAAATAGTATGATACTTGTATGAACTAACACTGCTATACAGAGAAGACAGTACATCTAAGACTGAAATGTTGCCTGGAAGTCTTACTGCCATTTATCAGCTGTTCAGTTAAAAGGAGGCATGTTGGAAAATCCTGTGTGTCAAAGTCGATAATTGCCTTTTCTGTGCTTAGTCACCAATACAACCAAGGGCAATTGCTCTCTTAGGTTACTATGAGAGTAGTACATTTGTTTTTGAAAAAAATATTTGAAACTCAGTAATCACAGGTTGCCCTTTTTCTTTTTTCAGAAAATTCTTTTTAATGTATTTATTAAGAATATGCATACATTTAACTTATATATCAAATTGTGGTGGTGATAGTGTGCTGTGGAGTTGGTCTCATAGCAACCCTATAAAGGGTTTCCAAGGCTGTGAATCCTTATGGGAGCAGAAACCTTCATCTTTCTCTCCGGAACTGCTAGTAGTTTTGAACTGTTGACCTTGAAGTTAGCAGCCTGACTTGTAACCACTACACTACCAGAATTCTTTCATATTAACGATCCCCAAATTCTCCATAATATTTTATTTGGGATTTAGAATGAGATACTAATTGGAATTTTCTAGATAATTTTCAATTTGTCAGTGCCAAAGATTGTTATAATTCATTTAAATATTTTATGTATTGGTTTTATGTATTAGTCATACTGAATCTTGATTCTGGTTTGTCATTTAGCTGTTTTTTTTGGCTAAGTCAAAATGTATTCATACTAGGGTATCATTTCTTATATGTATGATTTATTCCAAAAAACTATTTAAATATGTCTCTGTGATGGCTGTAGAAAAATTCATTTAGTAATACACTTGTCTTTATCTTCTTGTTGGCTTGCCAGCACCTACCAACAACAACAGTTATGGCAATGCGACTGTTCACCTCATCAACTGTAAATCCATAATCTTGCCCCTTCAAACTTGTTTTTGTTACTCAAACTCAAAAGAACATTTAGAAGGAACATGATTTGGATCCCTGGAGGTAGCACAAACTGCTGTTTTGACAGGATATAAATAAATTGAGGAGTGTAAAATTCTTTAGGGAAAAGTTAGAGATGGAAACAGTGCCTTCAAAAATGCATAGTCCTAGATGGAGGATATATCAAAAAACAAAAAACATTAGCTTTACATTGTAGTAGTTTTGTTTAGTAAAGGTTTCTATGATTACCTTTTTTATTTGCCCTCTTATAATATGGTAGGTTGTTTTGCACATACTAAGTCCTGGTGTAGTGCTGTGGGTTAATGCACCAGACTGCAAAGCCAGTTGAACTGCAAGGTCGGCGGATCAAGTTTACCAGCTGCTCCTCGGAAACCCTATACAGGGTCACTATGGGTGGGAGTCAACTCGATGGCACTTAACAACAACACAACAAAGTTTAAATGAGCCCTAGTGGCACTGTGGGTTAATGTGCTGGATTGCAAAGTTGGTTTAAATCGCAAGATCTGTGGTTCAAGCTCACCAGCTGCTCCTCGGAATCCGTATACAGGGTTGCTATGGGTCAGAACTGACTCGATGGCACTTAAAAACAAGTGGTGTAGTGGATTTTTATGGGCTTAGGGTTGCTAACCACAACATCTGTGATTTCAAATCCAACAACCTTCTCCACAGGAGAAAGATGGAACTTTCTGTTGTTGTTGTTAGGTGCCATTGAGTCGGTACCGACTCAGTGACCTTATGCACAGCAGAAACACTGCTCGATCCTGGGCCAACTTCACTACTGTTGCCACGCTTGAGCCCATTGATGCTACCACTTGGCCAGTCCATCTCGCTGGGGGTCTTCCTCTTTTTTCTCTGACCCTCCACCTTACCAAACATCATATCCTTCTCTAGCGACTAGTCCATCCTGACAATATGTCCAAAGTATGAGAGATGCAGTCTGGCCATCCTGGCCTCCAAGGAGCACTCTGGCTACACTTCTTCCAACACAGATTGGTTGGTTTTTTGGCAGCCCATGGCACGTTCAGTATTCTCCTCCAACACCATAACTTACAGTCTCTAAAATCATATTTAACAGTTATACTTTGTCCTATAGGGTTTCTATAAGTTGGAATTGACTTGATGGCAATGGGTTTGGGTTATGGTTTGAAGTTAAACATTTTTTTGTGCAGTTGAATATATATAAAATATTTTTTATACCTTTTGTTTTATGCTTTGAAAGAGTTCTCTCTCTCTCTATAAACATATATATGTATATTCACACATAT